TCTGTGGAGCATGGAGTCGCATGATGAGAGGGGGTGAAACAGGCGGAGCAGGAGCGTCAAGGCACACGGCACATGGAGTGAGTGAGCACACGCTGTTAGAAGTGAGGGCGCCCATCACCCACGGGCTTGCGAGATGACTTGGGTAGACATGGAGCTTCTGGCTGTGACAAGTGCAGGCCTTGCCAAGCCCAGTAAGGTGAAGCACCGTGAAGCGGGCTATGCCTTTAGGCTGAGCCACGGTCCCTCTGTTTGCAACCAGAGCGCGTGTTGGCCTCAGCTTGTGGCTTATCTGAGACTGACCAAAAAGGCCCGACTGTCTTAGTCACAAAGGCCTGGCCGAGCCCATCAATAATGAGGCCTGGCGGGACCCCCTTAGATGGACACTTCTATCGGGTGCGTTTTGAGAGGCAGTGTGCATCACAGCCTCCTCCCTAGGCTGAGGAGGAAGCATCCGGCACAGCTGTGACAGGACCCTCCCTTTGCTCAGAAAAGCATCAGGGCCCAGGTTAGAAGATGGGGGGTGGGGGTAGGACAGGAACCAGGAGGAAGGGCCCCATTCCACTCCGGATCAGCTCCGCTCTGAATATATGTTAATAGACAGAGTCCTGCTTAAGTTCTCGCTTGGGGCTATAAAAGAGAAAGAAGCAGAAGGATTCCACTGGAAATTTTTTTTTTTAGAAGGAAAGATAAAATAAAAGTTGGAAATCCCTGGTGTGCCTCTTAGAGGTAAGATAACTGGCCCTGAGGGCCGGCCCTCACTGGTGCAGAGCAGACTTGCGGTCCTGCCTGGAGCGGCCCCTATCACTCTGTGGTACCATTTGCTACACGGGAGCCAAGGTGTGGGTGGGTGGTAGGGGGGTCTCTGAGCAGGCGACACCCCAGCATCAGCAGCTCCCTGGGAAATAGGCTTGCTGGCAACAGCTCAGGGAACATGTGATCTTAAGGCTTAGCACTGATTGAATTTCACCCGCCTTCCTTTGCTGCCTGCTCTCCTTTGGAGGCATCGTGGTTGAGGTGTCAGGCTGCTAACCGCAAGGGCGGCAGTTTGAATCTGCCAGCCGCTCCTTCGGAGAAAGACGAGGCTTTCTGGTCCTCTCAAAGAGGCATCGTCTCAGAAACCCACAGGGGCAGTTCTACTCGGACCTGCAGTCAAGTCACAGTGAGCCGGGATCGGCTTGACAACAGGGAGTTTCTCCCTTGTGCTAAGCAGATAGGAGCCCCCTGGAGGGTCCCTGTGCCAACCCAAGCCGGCTCTCTGCACCCGAACGGCCTGGTTCATCCCTCCTAACTCACTGCCATCGACGCCGACGCATGGAGACCCGATAGGACGGGGTGGGTTTCTGAGACTGTAACTCTTTGCAGGAATAGAAAACCTCGTCTTTCTCCCTCGGAGAAGCTGGGGTTTTCAAACTGTCAAACTTGCAGCCCAAGGCATGCCCACTAGGGACCCGTGCTTTTCAGTCCCTCAGCCCTCTGGATCTCTCCAGGGCTGGAGGGGGCAGTAGGGAAGGAACAGGGCCTTTCCCTGGATGCTAAAGCCACACCCACTTAAAGATAGCTGAAGAGTCTCCCTGTGCTGTCCCCCTGGGCAGCCAGGCTCTTTCCTCAGCAACGTTTACAGAGGCTTCTGGGGAAAGCCCAGCCAGTCCAAGCCTGTCCACGCTGCCCAGTAGATGCAGTGACCACCCCCCACCCCACACTTCTTGAATTCCACTGATGGAGATGTGTGGCTACTTGACTGGTAGCTGAACTTAAAGCCCAGCCCTGTCCCCACCTTCTCATGCCTACCGGCAGGACTCTACAAAAATAAGGGTTCACATGTACCCAAGGCATGCGGAAGAAAGGCCTGGTGATCTGCTTACCCCAAATCATGCAGACACCCTGTGGAGGAGCCAGAAGCAACAGCAGCCGCGTGGTTGCTTGTTGCTTGGTTTTGTTTCTCCACACTGCTCACCCGCTTCTAACAAGCTCATTGCCACTCAATCCGTCCCTTGCACCCCAGGACAAAGCACCATCCTGCTCCTGCTCCCGGGCCACCCACAAGACCTGCCGTGGGTCGGACCTTGGCAGTCCATCGAGTTTTCATTGGCTGCTTTTTGGAAGTAGATCACCAGGCTTTGCCTCCTGGTCTCTCATAGTGGGGCAGCGCTGCTGAAATCTGTTCAGCATCCTAGCGTTGCACAAGCCTCCACTGGCACATGGGCGGTGCACTGGGGAGGTGGGGTGGCTGTGCCGGAGGTATGAGGGGTAAGGCAAGAAGTCTGGCTGCCAGGGTCCCAGGTCGTGCAGGCACGAGGGAGTCCACACAATGTATGTTTGAGCACAGCTTTGCCATGTGGGGGGCTGCAGACAGGTTCTCTCTGTCATAACATGGCCTGAGTCTCCTCTGAAGACTGGCTCCTCACCAAGAACAAAGGTCCAGTCAAACCAGTGGTTTATGAAGGGATCTGCCGGGGCCAGTTCAGTTCAGATGGACAGGTTGGCTTAGAAGGTTATGGTAACCGCTTT